ATCAACGAGCTTATTTATTTAGTAACATAATTATTTAAATTGTAAAAAATAGTGCTTCAAAGGTATAATTATAATTTAGATTAAACTAGTTTAATAAAACATTTAAATGTATTTTGATGGTTTTTTGAATAGTCATAATATATACTAATTATATACATAATTATGCGAGAAATATAATATCTAAAATTACGTTAAAACGCATTCGAAGCAACGTAAAGTACATGTATTATATTATATCCGTAAAATCTATAAAACTAATTAATTTAAAATATTTGGAAAATTTAGGAAGCTCGATAATTAATTTACCAACGTGGGTCAAAATTGGGTGTCAACACTCACAACTAGCTAGACACATTTGCAAATTATAAGAATGTCATGTTTGTTTTTTAATTCATGATAAATTGTTGATGATAGTTTTAAGTAGTAAACTCTTACACAAGACAATTTAGGTATAGAACTCCAAAAATCAGGACACTGTAAATTTAGTCTTGATGGTTATTTTTTCATATTATGTTTCTTCAACACAAAGTTAATAAAAGTAATGATAGGTAATGTTTGTTGAATAATTGGTGAACAAAATAAATATGATAATATCTAAATTGGTGACTTTCATGTATTTGACTGAAAATTTTGAACTTTTAATTATTTTCTTCATAAATAAGGGTAATTTAGAGTTTTCCCCTAGATTCAACATTGTAACGCTAATTTATTTTGTGGCTTACAATGTCAAGACCATAATCCCTTATAAATACTTAGAGGCTAAACATAAAATCAATTTTTTAAAAAAACTTTGCTATTATCATGAATTGTTATTATAGAAAAGTTGGCTATAAAAACTAATAATTTTATTTTTTATTTGTTTGTTGTCGAGTGACTAATATACGATAAAAATGGCATTGTCATCTGATGATAACAGTGATAGGAAGCGCGAGATTTGTACGGAGTTGGAGAATTTGAGACATCATTTGAGGGATATTGATACTCAGATACAACAGGCTAGATTAATAGGCAGGGCTGGAGGTTGGCTTTATTGATAACAAGATGCGAGATTGTTTACTTGAAGAGAGAAGCTGAACTTGAAAATGAACTTGAGAATAAGTATAGCATCTTTTATCGTAGGTACCTTTGATTGATAACTTATATTCTTCCTTATAGGAAGATTATTAGAATTATCATGTTGTTGGTTGATTGTTGTCAGGAAAATAAGATTATAATATACACAAGATGATAAATTTTATTCTCTCTAAATGTGAAATCCCAAACCTTAATGTTCTACTTGCGTTAAAAGAAATATATTATTTCATTTTTTAACAATTGTCTTCACAAAGTAGAGATAAAATTCATATACAGAGTGTTCCGCTTTCAGGATCTAGTTTCTTCTTTTACTATATGTTAGTTTTCAAGAGAATCGGTAGAAACTGCTCTGTCTTTCTCAATTATGTATTGAAAATTAAGTCAAAATAAAATAATTACAATACTTGATAATTTAAGTACTAAAAAAGACTTAGAAAGTAAATTATCATAGAAAAAAACTTAATTGAATCTCAAAAATTTAAAAATTGAGACATAAATTAAGTCAAAATTAAGTATTGTACATACCTTAATTTATTCAGGACTACATAATTAATGAGTTTGTTAATATAATGTATTGTAGTTATGATATGTAATAATCCCTCATTATAATGGTTATATATATATACACACTAGACAGGTCATGGCTCGTGCTAGGCACAGGCCCAACATAATGAGTGTGAATTATCTACTAAGCCTTTGATGAATGAAATATATTTGGGTTTCTCTTCAATATTCAAGCATAAAGGACAAAAGCATGTTCATATAAACAACAATTGGAGTTCTTACATGAACACTATCATAATTGCATGCTAAATAATCAATTAGTAAATAGAACTGAAAGATACAAGGACCATGCAATTGCCAATCTACCAGCATATAGAATAATCTTTGATTTAGGTACAGAATCTTCGATCTAATCTCCCGAAGATCTGATATTTGGACAACCATTGATGTACAAAAATCTGAGAAATGACATTTCATTTATAAGAATTAAGAAGAAGCCTGCTAAACCAGCAAAAACATGAAAGATATAAAGAGCATAGTATTGATAAAAGCTCATAATTTTCTATCAACCTCAACAAAAGAGGACCACTTGGTGTTCAACTCGATGTTCAATATAAATAGCTATAAAGACGCACAATGAAGAATATACTACTTAAAACAAACCACATCATTCTTCATAGAAATAAAAATTGTTTATTAATGAGATAAAAATGTAGTAGTCGTCGAACAGCTAGCATCCTACTTGTAGAAGGATAAATTGATCAACTCCACATTAACACGAACTTGATTTATAAAAGTTATAGTTATGAGTATAGCAACCGTATGTTCAAAAAATAACTTCAAACTTAAATATAAAAATGTGAAATGTTATCAAAATACCATCTACAACACACTACACAACTTTAACCATTTCAAATTTTGTCATCCTTTTATTCTTGTGATTTTTCTCTTCTCTTATCCTTCATTTCGGGGTCTTCTTTGAAACGTTATAAGATATATCTTTTCTGCACAACCTTCTAGATTTGAACTTCATTTGAATAACCACAACGTCAAATAAAAAATAATATATAAATGGGAGGGAGGAAGGGGGTTGCCTTGTGTGAAGGTTAGGCTAATCCTAGCTAACATGTAAATTTAATTTTTTACTATTTATAAATAGTTTCTGACATCAAAAACTCTTCCAGGTAATGAAGGCAATTATATGAACAACAATGTTCATAAAGATCTACTCTTGTAATATACTATGATTTTTTTCTCAATTAAAAATATTAGTACATTAAAAGAAGCATCATTAAGCATAGGTTTATGACTCACTATATTATTCTCTATCCAAATCAAGGTCCCTTTGATTTGAATAATTTATATACTTTACAAGAAGTCACTCATTGTTTTTACATGTATATTGCATATTAAAGGGAATCTTCAAATTAATGAGTTGCGTCGGTGATAATTTCCCGATCCTAAGGACAACGAAAAGATAAGTAGACTTTCCTCAATGAAAACTTTCAAAAAATACTACTAAAGAATCAAGAGTAGAGCTTCACTAATTAAGAATCTTAATTTCAAAAAGAAAATAGTACGTGAAAATAATAGCAGTGTCATTCTGAAATATCTCAAGGGGCTTCTCATAATCTTAAGAGAGGGAACATTTTGAAGACCCTGCACCAATTACTCATAGCTCTTAGTCTCTATCATCGCTACTAACTTCCCTAAAACAACAGTAACCTTAAGAAATATAACTTTCAGGAACACGCGCCCAACACTAAAAGAACATAGACGAAACACGCGCCGAACATCAAAGGAACATAACTTTCAGGAAACTTGGTGCGACATGTTAAAAGGCCGGCGTTCCACATGACTGAGAAGGTCCTATCATTATATTTCAATGAAGAAGTTGGTGATATATACATGTGAGAAAGCAATAGCATCTACACTAAACATTACAAAAATAATAAAACAAATAGATAGAACTTTTTTATGAATAAACATGTCTAATATTACTGTTATAGCAGTGATACGGAAAAACATGTTATGAATAATCTGTCATTATTAAATTTACTTGGAATGGAATGATAACATGCTTAATTGGCTTGCTAAACAATTTAGCATAACCATCTTTAGTCTTCACTTCTATATAAGACATATACTTTTTTATTTAGGATACCAAAGATCTTCAAGAATCACATGCCCCACAATATTATTTTATTATTTTCACATAAAAAATTTAATTCTTAGTTGATAACATACTTATTTTCGATGAGACTTTTAATAAAACGTTCTAGGTTAAGACTTACCATATTCCCTTGCTTCCCCCTACCTTAGACTTTCTGCTCAAATTAGAGAAGTCTCCTAAAAGAGTAACATATTTAATGGTTTCATTGTCGAGTTGCGAAACAAAAGTCACCAACATGATTTCATCTGATAGTTGAAATAAAACTCCAGGTACCTATAATAAATTCTTTTAAACATCACCACAAGCTCTTAAAAATAAGTGTCAAGCTCAACAAAAGGAACACAAAATTATGTATCCATTCAAAAGTACTTACCTTGCACCAAAGTTCACTTCAAACTAAGATGATTTCTTTTGTTAACATATTCAGAGGATGAGTCATTTTTACATCCGAAGTCTAACAGGAGTGATTAAACTATAATAGAATTTTATATTCATAAGTTCCTTGAAGAAGCTCTCAACTATTAAGAAGTTGCTGGAACTTTATTGTCATGTTATAAAGCATTATCATAAGAATTATTTTGTACGCTTGCCCATAAAGATTTGTATACATCAACTTCCTAGGAAAAGTACGATAATTCAACATATCATTTTTCAGAGGGCTATATCATTATGGATTTTCTAGCCTTTTCATTTATCTTGCAAGGTAAAGTGAGTATAGAGACTAAATAGGTTAATATAAGAAATATTTGTATGAAATCTTGAATTTATTTTCTAGTGCATCATGTTTAATATTACCATTTTAGTCTAGCAGGTGAATGTTGAATAGAGAAGGAGAAAAACTGAAAATTATATATCATGTTATTTTAATTACAAACATTTCATAATGTCAAAGAGAAAATCTTCACAATCTAGAAAAGGTGAAATGTCAAATCAATAAGGAAGTAAATATCTACAAAATATTACTGAACCCATGTGGTTAAAGAAAAACTCATTTGGAATAACTAAAACAAAGTGGCAGATTGTGTTATCTGTAAATCTAAAAGAAACTGGAGATAATGATTAGTAGGAGAAAAGTATATACACAACTTTAGCAGAGGGACGCGTAACAGAATTGATCTACCTTAATTATAAAGATTTACATACACCTCCAGATTTAGTAGAACCGTTTTATCTTCAATTATAAGACATTATATGTAACGCCCGGAGCCTATATCCTAGACGTGACCGACACTCAAAGACCATTTCTGGACCCCAAGCAAATCGTTGGCCTGACTTACTTAACTCAGAAGAAGACTAAAATCAACTTAAATAAGAATAAAGTTATATTTAAAAACAAATACTTCATAAATTAATCTGGCCAAAATGGCACTTGAGTCTCAACAAGTAAAATAACTCCAAACTAAACTACTAATAGTCTACGAAGCCTCTAAACTAACTGAAGAGGGATGTTGGGACAGACCGCACAACATCCTTAAATTAAAGTACTAAAGCAAATGAAATGGATGTCCTTGAGAATGCATGGAGGCTCACCACTAATTCTGGAGCTCAATCTGGATCAACAAAGCTCTACGTGCTTCCTGGTTACCTGCGTATGCATCATAAAATGATGCAGACCGATTGACATCAATACATTGAATGTACGAGTATGCGAGTTGGAGTGCTAAATACAATTATAAAGCTTGAAATGGAATAAGGATGAACTTACCTTGGCTCTGGTCAACTCATAAAATAACAACTCATTATAAAACAATAATGACATATGCAATGTATATTTATGCAAAACTAATAAAACAGTGTAACTCTTAGTTCATTAAAGATGTAACAATAATAAACTCAACTTTACTTATATATGAAAGTAATATAGTTTCTATAGGAGATTCTCTAACTGAAAACCATCACTTTGAGCATAAGTGATTATACAATGTATTATCTCACGTTGCCCAAGGACCATCCTATACCTCGCCTTTCGTATAAGACCTTACTTAACTTAGTAGATCCACTAGCTCTCCTTACGTGATCATCTAAAAAGTATGACCCGTCTATTCCCATGATGGCTACATGGTTTACATGGAGAGTTGAGTTAATATGAACTCACATCCCCAAATCGGGGCTCAATACTACTCCCAAAATGTACTTTAGCTCATACTTTTAATAAAATATCCTTTCTTTGGGTTGAGATAATTTACTGAACTCTTTAGCTTTTGAAAAGCTCTTTCTTTTTGGAATCAATTTTCCCCTTTTAGTTCAGAACTCTTCGGAACTCTTAATTCCCTTTTAACTTAAATGTGAAACATTTATAAACCTTTATGGAATACTTAGTTCCCTTACAACTTTTGAGGAATGAACTCATCTCTTGCTCTTTACTTAACTTGAAACTTAACTCTTAGGGATTAGTTAGTTCTCATATAGCTTTTGAGAATTTAACTCAACTCTTTACTCTTTCATGACTTGAACTCTAAGTCTTTAAAACAAAGTGAAAACTTTTGTGAAATACTTTAAAAAACATTAGAAACTTTACTTTGACTAGCCTCCTAACTTTTAAGCTTGACTCTTAACCTCTTTGACTTTGATATTAGCTTACCTTGAATTGGATTATGAATTCAAGGATCCTGATCTCATGTTTTGGGGTGGTTTCATGATGTTTTTATGTACTTCAGAGTGTTGGAATCAACTAGGGATGAAAGGTACATCACTTAGGAACTAGTACGAAGAGATAGGGAAAGAACGGGGTCTCCAGGGGGTCGTGGCACTCTAGGAGGTGTGGGGCGCAAGGGACTTTCGAACATACCCTGTCTGGGCGCTGTGAGAGGCACGCACACCAAGGCCTGTCATACAGAGCCTTCCCTAAGGGGATTTGGTAGGCACGGCACCCCAAGGGGTATCTGACGGGACCTTCGACTTTATTTCTTCGCTTTTCATCTCTGAAAATCCTAAACTTCCATGGATGCCACCCCAAACACTTAGGATCCCTAAATAAGTCATTACGCAATAGTTTAGATCCAAAAACAGTCTGAAAAACTACTAGAGATCAACTACAATTCAATCAACAAGAACTTCACAACTTTTCATCAAGAACTTTAAGATTTTCATTCAAATAACTCTAAATTGTTGTGTCGAATCAAGTTGGAGGGTGAGTGAAAGGACCCAACACCGAATGATCTCACATACCTCGATAGGGATCACTCCCTATGAATTCCATGCAATGATCTTAACGTTCTTGAACAATTCTTGGTCTTCCTCTTCTGTTCTCCTATTCTCCCAAACCCTAATCGTTCTTAAATTTATAAAACTGATTTGGTACTTGTTTTTACCTGTAATATAACCTTAAAATGGATTAGGAAATACTTGGGCGAAAAGTCAATCTTGCTCTTACTAAAACCAGGATGGGACTTTTTTTCAGTTCAACAACCCAACTTCCGAAAGACATTTTACCCTCACACGACATCATATTTTTGCCAACTCGGTTGCGTTGGAAAGATCATTTCACGGAATTTACAACCATATAAATAAATCATACAAACTCCTCATGATCTGAAAGTTATGGTGTTTGAAAATGACCAAAACTCACTTTTGATAGCTGGATATTTTTCATATTTCCTTACTTACATCAAAAAGTGATTATTCTTGAACTCTTAGTTTATTCTTGTTACGAGATGTTACATCATAGTCCGTACACAACTTTTACACTTAATGATCGATAAACAAAGATGTCAATTTATTCTAACCGTGCCGAAATATAAAGGTTAAACTAACAAGAAACACGTTGAATAAAAATACATGAAGATCCTAATTTCTTTAAGAGGATACCAATGACCAAAAATATTTATCAACGTATGCATTATTCATTCAATCCGTGCCAATTTATGAAAAAAGATATGTACAGTGAAAGGTAATCCAACTTTCACTAGCTTCTTATTTGTTTTATTTTCGTCAAGTTCCAAGATGGTTCGATTTTCAGTTCATTCAATTTAGGCAACATGAAATGAAAAATTTAAGTGTACAAAGAAGCTTTAAAACATCTTGAAGGCTTAACAGATTACTAATGATCGAGAAAAAGAAAAATGAAGAACATTTATAATGGTAGCAAAATGTAACTCCTGAAGGCCAGTCCCACAAAAGGGATTATATCACATACGATTCAACATTCCAAAATTATAGCAAATGCTCTGAAATAATCATATCGACAGCACACACAATTTGATTGGACAGAGTTGAATATGAGCAAGCATAATACTATGCGAAGACTGTCACAATAAAATTAGAGAAGATGAAGCACAGTTAAGGAGTATAATTATCAAGATCGTAGAGCTCAAATTTATGAAGTTACCTATGAAAATTAGAGAAATAATTAAGAAGATTTTTTTTGATTTTGAAGTTTCTACGCCCATCCCTACATATCATGTTTTCAACCATATTATTTCTCCTTGAATTAAATGCAAAGGACTACACATGAAAAATCAATAAATCTTAGAAACACCCGCATCAAGAACAAAGCATAAGGAAAACTAAATTTAGAAAAACCATTTTTTTTCAAAAATAGAAAATTAATTGATAAATATGAAAACAAATAGGGGAAGGAGAAAAAGAAAAAGAACCAGAAGCAAAGATATCTATTAAGCCTAAATTTAGTGCATGGAATTACTAAAACAAAAATCAAACAGATTAACAAAATTGAATGAACAATCGAATTAGTCGAATTAAAAATCGATAAAATATGACCTAAATTCAAAACATAAGAAGTAAAAGCAGAAATATCGATAATAAAAGAAGAAAAAAGAGGTCGGTTGTATGGAGAATTGGCAAAGTTTCATCATACTTTCGTATGCCTTCAATGAAGATGAACATGAAAAATACAGTCACAATGCAGAACAATTTTGTTTAATAAAAAAATCGGACATATAAGATAAAAAGAATCAATATGTGATTTCTTTTTCCAAGTACTGGACTTTCTGCACATTATCTAATCAAATCTTCCAATGTAAAAGACAGTCAAAATATTTAGAAAAATAAACTGACAGAAAAAGGAGAAAATACGAAGATCTCTTCGACCAACCTTCTTCATGGACCAATTTTGAGCGATAGAATGCATCAATTGTTGTAGAGGAAAGAGTGAGAAGCTGAAGAAATTTGGGGAGAAAGTGAAAATCAGATGTCTCAATTAAAAAACAAGGTAATACAATTTCTTCCCAATTTTTTTTTGTAGAATTGGGGAAGTTAACTTAAATATATACACGTGGACTTAAGTAAACAAAGAAATAAAATGGGCCCAAGTTTATGGTACAATTTTTATTACTTATAGTACAACTATTTGATGCTATGTTAGTCTTTTCCAACTCGCACTTCTCAAATAAGATTCTACATTAAAAAATTATAGCAAATGCTCTGAAATAAAAATATTGACAGCCCACACATAATACTATGCCAAGACTGTCATAATCAAATTAGAGAAAATGAAGCACAGTTAAGAAGTATAATTATCTAGATCGTAGAGCACAAATATATGAAGTTACCTATGAAAATTAAAGAAATAATTGAGTAGATTTTTTTGAATTTGATGTTTCTACACCCATCCCTGCATATCATGTTTGCAACCCTATCATTTCTCCCTGAATTAAATGCAAAGACCTACACATGAAAAATCAATAAATCTTAGAAACATTCACATCAAGAACAAAGCATAATGAAAACTAAATTTCAAAAACCAGTTTTTTTAAAATAGAAATATAAACTGATAAATATGGAAACAAAAAGGAGAAGGAGAAAAAGAATAAGAACCAAAAGCAAAACATCTATTAACCCTAAATTCAGTGCATGGAATTACTAAAATAAAAGTCAAAAAGATCAGCAAAATTGAATGAAAAGTCGAATTAGTCGAATGAAAAATCGATAAAATATGACCTGAATTCAAAACAAAAGAAGTAAAAGCAGAAATATCGATAATAAAAGAAGAAAAAAGAGGTCGTTGGTATGGATAATTGGCGAAGTTTCATTATACATTCGTATGCCTTCAATGAAGATGAACATGAAAAATACGGTCACAATGCAGAACAATTTTTTTAATAAAAAACCCGGATATATAAGATAAAAAGAATCAATATGTGATTTCTTTTTCTAAGTACTGGACTTTCTGCACATTATCTAATCAAATATTCTAATGCAAAAGATAGTCAAAATATTTAGAAAAATAAACTGACAGAAAAAGGAGAAAATACGAAGATCTCTTCGATCAACCTTCTTCATGGACCAATTTCGAGCAATAGAATGCATCAATTGTTGTAGAGAAAAGAGTGAGAAGCTGAAGAAATTTGGGGAGAAAGTGAAAATCAGATGTCTCAATTAAAAAACAAGGTAATACAATTTCTTCCCAAAAAAAATTGTACAATTGGGGGAGTTAACTTAAATATATACACGTGGACTTAAGTAAACAAAGAAATAAAATGGTCCGAAGTTTGGAGTTAACTTAAATATATACACGTGGACTTAAGTAAACAAAGAAATAAAATGGTCCCAAGTTTATGGTACAATTTTTATTACTTATAGTACAACTATTTGATGCTATGTTAGTCCTTTACAACTCCCACTTCTCACATAAGATTCTACATTCCAAAATTATAGCAAATGCTTTGCCACACAATTAGATCAAGGACAGAGTTGAATATGGGAAAACATAATACTATGCCAAGACTGTCATAATCAAATTAGAGAAGGTGAAGCACAATTAAAGAGTATAATTATCCAGATCGTAGAGCACAAATATATGAAGTTACCTATTGAAAATTAGAGAAATAATTGAGTAGATTTTTTTGAATTTGAAGTTACTACGCCCATCCCTGCATATCATGTTTGCAACCCTATCGTTTCTCCTTGAATTAAATACAGAGACCTACACATGAAAAATCAATAAAATCTTAGAAACACTCGCATCTAGAACAAAGTATAAGGAAAACTAAATTTCAAAAACAAGTTTTTTTTTCCAAATAGAAATATAAACTGATAAATATGGAAACAAATAGGAGAAGGGGAAAAAAGAAAAAGAACCACAAGCAAAAACATCTATGAACCCTAAATTCAGTGCATGGAATTACTAAAACAAAAATCAAACAGAGCAGCGAAATTGAATGAAAAATCGAATTATTCGAATGAAAAATCGATGAAATATGACCTAAATTCAAAAGAAAAGAAGTAATAGCAGAAATATTGATAATAAAAGAGGTTGTCGGTATGGAGAACTGGACTCTCTGCACATTATCTAATAGAATCTTCCAATATAAAAGACAGTCAAAATATTCAGAAAAATAAACTGACAGAAGAAGGAGAAAATACGATGAACTCTTCGACCAACCATCGTCATGGACCAATTTCGAGCGATAGAATGCATCAATTGTTGTAGAGAAATGAGTGAAAAGCTGAACAAATTTTGGGAGAAAGTGAAAATCAGATGTCTCAATTGAAAAACAAGGGAATACGATTTCTTCCCCCCCAAAAAAGGAGAATTGGGGGAGTTAACTTAAATATATACACGTGGAATTAAGTAAACAAAGAAATACAATGGGCCCAAGTTTATGGTACCATTTTTATTACTTATAGTACAACTATTTGATGCTATTTTAGTCCTTAATAAGGATATATATATATATATATATATATATATATATATATATATATTATTGGGATATATATACTAATAATTTTTTTAATAAAATGTGTGCTTTTTAAATTAATATAGTTAAATGTAAATACTTTCAGTGTTTCAAAAATTTGGCTAAACAAATTATTAGTCAAACCATCAAAGTGTTTGCAGTCACATTATTTAATTAAGTGAGAGTATATATAATGTTGTTTAATTTTAAAAGGTTCTTTTTAATTGGTTATAATACATCATTTATATAGAATAATTAAGTTGCCATGATGTTGCGTTCATCAAAAGTTGCATATTTTTTTGGGTATTCAGGGACCAATTTACAAAACTTAGGTACTTTTTATAATTGTTCATGTGTTTAAATCCATAAATACTTTGGTGATGTGGATTCTAGATTATTTATTTGTGAAACTCTTATGGAACCTTTGGCACAAAGTTGGGGAGCAGTACCTACAACTTCATCATTTTAGATATTTAGGTGATAATTTACAAATAAAAAAGTTATTTTATGTGTTTTTCAGGTGTGCTGGGTCATGAATATTTGGATTATATGTCTTGTGGTTGATTTTTGTGTGAAACCTTTACGTAAACTGTTGTAGGGAGTTGGAGTAGAAATGTATAATGTGACCTTTGTCATGCCTCGAGCCTACACCTTGGACGCAACTGACACTTGAGAACCATTGCAGGTCCCATGTGAACCCTTGTCATGACTTAACTCTTAGAGGAAGACTTTATCAACATAAAATTTATTGAAATGCAATCTTAATTGAACTGTCTCAATAGAAAAACTCTGAATATTTTAGAAATAAACATTCAACTAGTAAAAATGGTAACTCAATTCTCAGAAATCTATAAATGAAATGAACATGACCTGTGAACTATATATGTCTATATATCCATGATACTCTAAATACAATCAGGTATGCCAGGAAAAGACCCTGATCATCCTAACAAAACTGAATAACAAAACATAATAAAGGGAACCTCCAGAAGCAAAGAGACTCACAAAATTAGTATGGAACTAAAATGGATCAATGAAGTGTTTGATGCTAATCTTGGTTATATGTATATGTATCATCAAAGATGTAGGCCAAATGATATCAGTATAAAATGTACTAGCATTGAAGGGGAAGCCTAAAACAAGATATAAACTTGAACTATAATTAAAGCAACAACTTACATTGTCTAAACTCACTCAACTCATTACAATATAAAGCAGTGATAAAGATTCAATAAAAAGAAAAGCTTATAAAATTGTAGACAGAAACTCAATGCATTTCAACATACAATATAACTCATATTGTATATATAAAGATACATAATAAGTATGTGGGAGAGCTATGTGATGATACAACATCTACCCCACACAACTAGAAATGTCTTATACTTTGTCAGTGTGTACAACCTACTACTAAGTGGATCCACTAGTCTATGCTAAAAAGCATTACGGAATCAGCTAAAAGTTTAACCCTTTTTACCCACGTTTGCTACATGGTTTATCAGGGCTATGAGTTGTATGAATTCTCCCCCATATCGTTGCTCAATACTACTCCCAAAATATACTAGCTCATACGTTTATATAAAAATAAACTCTTTTTGTGGTTTGACATTATTACTGGTAAATCCTTCTCTTAAAAGAGATGGTACATAGAACTTCTCATGAAAACTTTTTTTGAAATTGGTGTTTCCTCTGATCCTAAATGTAAATACATTTGCTGTTGGGAATACTTATTTCCATATATCATTTTAATGAAAATGAACTCAACTTTACTTTCCCTCAAACTCGAATCGTCAAGTCATAAAACAAGTTAAAATAATTTGTAAATTACTTCTTACACTGAGTTGAAGAACTCTCAAAACTTGATTCTTACTCGTTTTTTGAACCTAATTCTCCTAGAATCGAATGGTTTCTTTCCAATCAATTAGATTTGAATAGTCAACTTATGAACAAAATAATCTTCTACAAATCACCCTCAATTGAAAAACTTTTATCTCAAGAATTCACCAAACACATCCTAATTCAAGAACGGAAACTACACTGTCAAGAAACAAATGAAGAACTCAAATTCTTCAACTTCAAGAATGAAACATCGCTGAAAAAAAATGTGATTGGCTTGTGGGTTATCAAAACCAACACTATGAGAAACTTATATTCCTCTTAGGGATCAAACCCTTGGCGAAACAACCTATGATTTCACAAGAAACTTTATGAACCCCTTGACTTTTCTCCTCTTTTCTCTTCTTAAATTCATTTTTAGAACTATAGCGTAATTTAGGATTCTGTAAACATAACCAAATCAGTTTATACCCCTAATAAATTATTTAGATCTGTTAGGGTATGGAAAAGACCAGAATACCCCTCTTAAATCCTGGCAACTTTCCTTAAACAGAAAGCCCGACTTCAAACAGTCGTATTTCCTTCATACGAGCTAGAAGATTAGCAAACTTGGTGGCGTTAGTAAGGCTCGAAGATTAGCAAACTTGGTGGTGTTACTAAGAGGATTTCAATACCTTTCATTTGATATTTTATGGATCACCTAAATAATCTTGTATTGAAAGTTATGGTTGTTTCATGTTGACCCAAAACTCATATAAAGCATAACTTGCAAAATCTTCCAATTTATACTGTTTCCAAAATAGTTCTTTCTAATTCTAATTCTTTCAAATACCTAGGTGTTACAACAACTTTTAGAGTCTTTTTGAATATTAAAGGTCAAATTTACAGGAATTAGACAATTTTTTCTATTTATCGTGCTTGTTGGCCCATGAATATTTTTGGTGATATGGCTTCAGGACGATTTCTATGCGTAACATTTTGGGAACCATCTGTACGGCAGTGGTATAACAATATAAATTTTCACCATTTTGAGAGTTATTTTTGTACATTTATGGGCAATTTAAAGAAAAAAAAACAACATTTTTTGTTTTTTGTATGTAACCGATGAATAGTTTGGTGATATGACTTCTAGGTGATTTCTTTATACATCCTTTACAGAACCTTAGTAGGGTGTTGGGGAGAAGTCTCACCATTTATAGAGTTATGTTTGGGCATTTAAGGGTCAACATACTAGAATTAGGTGATTTTTTCTTAAAATTAATTTTTCACATGTGTTAGCCCATAAATATTTTGGTCAAGCCCCGATCCTACACCTTGGGCGAAACTGACACTCAAGAATCATAGGTGGTCCAAAGCGAATCCTTGGTCTGACTTACTTACTCAATGAAAGACTTAACTTAATAGGATAAACTTCAAAAAGAGACATAGAATGTTATAGAGAATACATTCAACTATCCACTACGACAAACTCAGTCTCAACAAAAGATAATGAAATGAAAAACTAAAGAACTAACATCTTACTCTCTATGAAGCCTAAAAAATAAAGAGGGATGACATCATTAGAATCGCTATCATCCTAACAATGAAATACTGAATGCAACGTAAAAAAAGTCTTCCGAAATTCAAGAAAGCTCACCAGAGTGCTCAACTGGATGAACAAGGCACCAGATGTTGATCCTGGTTGCCTGCGTCTGCATCAAAAGAGTATGCATGCCAACTCGCATCAGTACATTAAATGTACGAGTATGCGAGTTCGAATGCTAAAGATAACATAGGCTTGAAAAGAATTAAAAAGAAACACTTACCTTGAATTTACTCAAATCCTGAGTAACTTAACTCAATATAAAGAAATAAACCATATGAAATATACAAAAGTAGTTCGTTAAATAAAATGTAATTACAAACTCAACTTGACACATATTATAGAGAAATATAGTTTCTGCAAGAGTTTCTATAACCGAAAACCATCACTATAAGCCTAAGTGGTGATATAATGTCTTGCCCACGCTGCCAGAACTTTCTTATACTTTGCCGTCATATAGAACACCTTAAGTAAGTGGATCCACTTTTGTATCCTAAAAAGCAGCTTAAGGGTCATATATTTATTAAGTATGATCTTTACTACCCATAATGACTACATGGTTTAGGAAGACTTGAGTTAATATGAATGCACATCCCTATATCAATGCTCAATACAATTCCCAAAATGTTCTTAGTTTATTTGTTACAAAACAAACATTCTTTCTTTGGTTTGGGATTATAGCCGAAACCTTTAGCTTAAAATATCTCTTCTAGATCGGTATTTCCCTTTGTTGTTCAAATGTGATAATATTTTCTTAACTCTTGGGAATATTTAGTTACCTTATAACTTTTGGAGAAATGAACACAACTCTACACTCTTTGTTTAACTTGAAACTTAAGTCTTATAACATAGTCAAAACATTTGTGAAAGACTTCTTGAAAATATTCTAAAAACTTCCTAGACTTGACTCATAACTTCCTTTCGTTTGAATTTATTGATTCAAGGTTATGATTCATGTTTCTGGATGATTTCTATGTATTTAGAAGTCATGTAGAGTAGTTAGAATCAATGAAAAGTGTTAGTACACTTTAGAAGGACCTAAACGGACTTAATGATGAAAAACTCATGAAAAACAACAATTTTGGCGCATTCCGGGCTCGCCATGCCAACCCTAACTTACTGAGCCTCTAAAATGGGGCACCGCTGGCACGTGGGTAAACTAACCCAATGTTATAAAAGTTTCACATATCTTGTAGGATCAAATCCTTGATGAAACCCGAAGTCAATTCCTTACAAGACGATGATATCTATATATTTGTTTCCTTTCTTCTCCTTTGTCTTTTTTCCAAGATCTAGCGTGAACTTTAACTCTTCTAAACTAACTAAAATTTGAGGTTACCCAAATTAATCACCTGTAAACGAATAAAAACAATTGGTAAGGAAATGACCAAAACACCCTTCTTAAATCCG